AAAAAAAAAAAAAAATGTGAAATAGGATCAATTTCCATACAACGCTGGCGGATATAAGATTGAAATCGAATTTGGTAAGGAGTATCCGTTCAAGGCACCGAAAATCAGGTTCATCACGAAAATTTATCATCCGAATATAAATGAAAGAGGCGAGGTACTGCTTCATAACATTCATTTATTGTTGAGGGCCCTTTCAGTTACTTGGTGTATTTAACTTCACATCTGCTTAGTTACTTAACTGTCTGGTCAATTGATTACTCATTTACCTTCACTTACCTACTCACTTAACTATTTATTTGGCTATTCACTCACTTATTCTATTCACATACTCACTTACTTACGCATCCGTTTACTCAACTATCCACCTATGGCTGTCGCCTAGTTACTTACCTATTTGCTTTGTCAGTTCCTTGCTTGCTTAAAATGCAAAAATTAATCGAGCGCGGATGCACCAGACGGCGTTTTTTTCTTCAGATTTCAATGCCAATGATCAGTGCCGAAAACTGGAAGCCCTCACTGAAAGTAGATCAAGGTACAGTAAACCATATTTTACCGTGAAATATATTAAATCGACGCGCTGGTAAATCAGGCTCGAAGCTTCCTCCGTATCAGCTCTCTGTGCAAGGCGGAAGCACTTTGAAGTGGCTTAGGTGATAATACATTTCAGAAAAAGCACTGACTACTCAATGGTGCCTTCTCTCGAGAATTACTTTGAATTTTCTCAAAGGATCGCGGAAAACCCACCTCCTTGATCGGCTGTACACTTTGCGCAAAAAATCCAGCTTTGTGCGAAGCAAAACGCCAAAAAATCAGTCCCGCAGTTCTCTTTCTACAAAATTACACTTACTCCTTCCCCTCTTACACCTTATCTGGACAAATGAACTGACTACTAATTCATTATTGATTTATGTTCTTTTTCGCCGATAGCCATTTGATAACTCTGATTTGATTTCTCAGTATCTACAGTGTACCACACATTCGAGTTAGCGGATCAGTCCTGCGCGTTAGTAGCCCTCGGCCGTTAAATACAGCACTTTCTTGTTTGTGCATCGCGGAAGACTTGCTCACCGCACACGTCTGGATAATCTTACAACATGCAACCTGTAGCCCACTTCTACCCCTGTCAGATTTTCCAGTTGCCTTGACTAGTGCTGTGTCGGTCTTTGCGCCATATAAAACATTA